CTTTTAAAATTTCTGATTAATATTGTAGCGAGTCAGGTTAGCTGGACAACTCAAGCAGCCGATACTTTGCATAAGAACACCTAGTGACCTCGCGAAAGAATGAGAAAAACAAACTTCTTATAAATGTTCTCTCAGCGATTTTTTAAGGCACACGCTATGCCGATAAAATATTATCTATGTGAAAATCTGCAAATAAAAATTTGAATATATCTGTATCCACATACACATTTAACCTTGCTTTCATTCTCCTTTAAAGCGATGGTTTCGTGAATTTTAGGTATAATTTCGATTTGACGAATTTTCTCCTTTGAATATCAACATGTCATCAAGCAATTAAATAGAACGTAATGTATGAAAATGAAATAAGCATTTAACTGCAGAACAATAAACATGATATCAGACAATTACAGTGTGATTGTAACTGTAATATATACTCGCTTAGTATTTTTTTAAGAACTGCAGCCGTGCGGTCTATAATGCTGTTTATAAACACGATGAAAACTGATTATCAAAACTCGAACCAAAGACCAACGAACTCGAACTTAGGACCTTAAGGCTAAACAAAATACGAAGTTACGAACTCGCAGCCGAATCATATGTATAAATATACTCAATACTTTAAATCGGGATGATTAGTTAATTAATTAATTAAATTTATTTATACACATTATAGGAGTTGAAAACACCGACAAGTAGGTCTGAAGCACAGCCAAATATAAGATATAACAATAAACGAAAACATTAGTAGGTATTAAAACTTAGCACCAATAACAATTATATATTGCATAAGATAAAAAACGGGCTACTAACCATTTCAATTAGTTAAACTCGATGTGTAGAAATATAATAAAACAGAGAATTAAAGCTTTAAGGATTCTAGATATCAACGTTCTATGTTCATGCTTTGAGCGAGGTTCATTTTTCGTTATTTCTTCAAGTGCGGTTCCGTCGATATAACCCTTGCATAATCTACTGACGTGTCTTAAACTTTCAACACATCTTCCTGCTCAGAGAAATTATCTCACGGTTTCTTACTAATTTCCTTGGGCCCAGAAAATTTTATCAAATTAAGGTATAATTTTATAAACAATTATACGAGACGACGCCATAAAATGGTCTCGCATTCACAAAATGCACTCCCGTCATTCGGTCTTTATTTTAATTGATATAAAAATGTGTGATGGAGACAAACAATTATTTCGTATGATGCAGCAAACAATATAGGGAGAACGAAAATGTGTATTTATAACACAGTGAAACCTCTGTACAGCATTTAAAACATGAAACCACAAAGAGATCAATAGAGTATGGAGACCGTAAATAACAAAAAAGAGTGAGACAACTGATGGGGTAAAAAGGTGGGGAGGGGGGATGAGGATTCAAAGCAGAATAAAAGGAAGAAGAAATGGCAGGAAACGAGAAAGTAAGAAAAGAAAGGAAGAACTTGTTTATTTTATGAGTATACTTAAAACTTTTCTCCTTGACACAGTTTTATTTGCGTTGCGAGAACAGTATCGAAGTTTACTTCACGGTTTACGAACACTCAACGTTTCTTTTCTTTTCTTTCGAGTCTCGTGTATGTTTCATGCACGGGCTGCTTCAACCATTTTCGGGGAAGCGTCTTCCTGAAAGATCGATCGATACGGATACTCCTCGGAGGGCCATTCATAAATTACACTGCGGTCAGGCTGGCAACTTGAACTCCATTCGTGGCCGTCATCACTTCTTACCAATGCGACGTCGGTACATAATATACTTGTAGGTTTCATTTTCCAATGTTTGTTGGGAAAACACACTTTCTAAACTGCAACACATTTTATTTAAAGTGAATTTACTTTTCAGCGTGCAGAACTTTAAGTACACAGACGAGGTGACAGTTAATTTTGCACACACAAAAGTTATTTTTAGAAACTAAACAATATAACTTGTTATGCAAAGACGTCTACAACGTTATTGTATTTTATAAATCGCACCTGCAATTGAGAAAACAAATAAATGATAAACAAAACTTTGTCTATTATTCCATAGTTAATCTGGGACTTTGATCATCCGACTTCAATAGTCTGCCTTCAATTATAAGTTATTTCTATACTGGTATAAAGTGACTGTTTATATCAAAATAAGCAGAAAAAGTTTCGAAATAAAATATTCTAATTTAAAAATAGAAAAATGTGTTTTCTAATTTTAAAAATATTTAGAAAACCAGAATAATCGGTCAAAGGATAGTTTCCAATATTTCATCTACACATGAAGCAACCATTAACTGTTTCTGATATTAATTTGTATAGCAACGTCTAACACGAGCTTTATTTGTAATGCGTGCTCTGAGATACTGCACATACTATGACAATAATAATAATGATACCAATTACTATGACTGAACTCGTTATTTTGTTAATGTGCCATGCAGGGGCCAATAAAAATCAAATACTTTTCCTTTGTACAACGAATCCAATGGAAAACCAGTATTGGATATCGATACCCCCTCTCCCGATGACTTTTTAATCTGCCAAGGACTTTATTGATATTATGTTCTATATTCGTACTGATACCGAAATCTACACAAAGGGAATCGTTTAAAGAAAAAATAATGTAACGATGGTTTATTTCGATTGGAGAATATCCTGGTTCAGAGGCATAGAAGATTGTACGTCTTCCCCATACTTACAAACAGCGTTTTATCTGTTTTGACTTTAAATAAATAAACAAACAAATAAATAAGTACTTTTATGGATAATCCAAGCATCTGTCAATAAGTACATAGTAAATAAAATATAAATAATTTCTTAATGATTCCATAACACATTAACATTAAATCATCAGTAACATGGATGTACTTTCTATGTCAACTTTCAATTCAGTTTCTCTCACGAGATGAAAGTAAAGTTTCAAGTTGTTTTATTTCTAAAAAGCTATTTCACTGTTCTAGAAATTACCAGCTTTAAACTAAGAGGTTTTCTTGCTAATGTGCTGAATGATTTAAAGATCGGAATATTTTTGTTCTATGAATCTTAAAAATAATAGCGTTTCTTATTCGTAAAGTGTTATGTGTGTGTCAAATTCCTATTTTGTTACATGCGTAAAACAATAACTTTTCGCGAGTTGATTTAAAAGAAAGAAGGATATCTGTCTAAGTTGTCATAAGTACAAATATTTCGACTTGAAATCTTGTTTTTCATTCGCAATGAAATTAAAAGAAAACATGTTTGAATCGTTATGGCACATTTAATTGAAAATGTACGGTCGAGATAGAGGCACAGATTCTGAAAACCAACGACAAAAAAACTTGTTTCCGATTTATATATCATTTCCACTTTCTTTGTTCGATTTTGACTAGAGCTGATTTGATGGAATTTGTATTCGCTACCTCTTCTTTAACTCCGACGTCGACGTCGTCGACGACGTCGAAATACGACGTCATATGAAATGTCCCAGGAACAAGATTCTAGCCTGTATCATACGGATGATTTTATTAATTGTATAAAATGATTTGGTAGTGAATTTTGAATGCATCACGGTAAATGAACAGAAAAAAGAACAGAGTTAATACATTTTAAAAATTGATTATTTTGGAAATAAAAAGGCAATATGTTATACATTGTTGCATTATTTCATATGTACATTTCAAAATATTTTATATTATTTATATGACGGATTATTATTATTATTATTACTTTATTATATTCCATTTTTATACATTTCTCCTTAAGTTATAATCTAAACTAGCAGAATATTCTAGATGCAATTCAGAGCATAATATCTGTTGACACCACAATAGGTTATTATGCATTTTGAATAAAATTACTGCAGCTAGAGGTGCCTCGACACAATTAACTAATTTAAAGTCGGTCTTACTACTTGAAACGCTCTCTTATGTGAGACAATCAAGTTTCAGACGTTTCTTATTAACGGTTTCTGAATTACACTTAGTGATTACACCAAGAAGGGAAAAGGGGGTGAGCGAGAGAGAGGGAAGGGAGAGAGGGAACGAGAGAGAGAGAGTGAGAGGGGGAGAGAGGTGGCAAGATAGATTGCAAGACGGGAAGGGAGGGAAGAGTGGGAGGGAGAGGGGGAGAGAGTAGCGGTGATAGAGGGTGGGGAGATAGGAGGGGAAAGAGGGAGGGGAAAGAGGGAGGAGTGAGAGGGAAGGGAGAGAGGGAGGGAGAGGAGAGAGGGTGAGGGCAGAGAGAGAGCGACGGAAGAAAGAGGGAGGGGAGAGAGTGAGATAAAGCGGGCGAGAGAGGGAAGAGAGAGGGGTAGAGAGGGAAGCGAGAGTGGAGAGAGGGGGAAAGAGGGGAGAGAGAGGGGAGGAGAGAAAGGGAGACAGGGAAACCGAATAGTTGAAATTCAAATTAAAAAATTCCTATCCGGTACACATTGGGGCACGTTGGGGGTGTCCGCATTATGTGAACGGTAAGCATTCGTTTCTAGAGTCTTCTTTCACAAACAAATATTTGCTATAGAATTCTCGTCGAGACAGCAGCTAATACAGCTAATGTAGATAATCCGCCACCGTTGGGAATGGACCTCCCGGTTCAGACCCCGGTCAGAGTGCCGATGCCCTGAGCCGCCTTTAACCAACGGAAAAAAAGAGGCCGTGTGTTCCCACCGCACTAGCGCAGCGGTCCTTCCTGGAGGAGCGCGTGCAAAGACGAGTGCGCGTCGTGACGGCGCGAGGCCGCGGGCAGGGCGGCGCGTCGGGGCCGCCTATTTCCGCCATTATTTAGCAGTCTGCCGTAATCTGCGAAGCGTTACCCGGCGGAAGCAGGATCGATTCCAATTTCGGAACGCGGCCGCTTCCGCTGCCCCGCCTGCCCGCCGTCCATCGCCCCACCTCCGCCCCACTAGCCGCCGCCAAAGCCAACGCCACCGCTGTTGCCGCCGTCCCCGCGCCGCCGCCGCGTCCGCCGTCGACGCCGAACTTGCCGCCGCCGCCGCTGCCGCAGTTTCCCATTGCATGCGCTCGGGCCGAAATTGCAGCCGCGCATTCGGCCGCCTTTCTATCGGATGGCGGGCTGGCGAGCTAGCGAACGAGCAAGGGAACGAGCGAACGAGTGACCCGTGCCAACTGGGAAGCCAAAGCGCACAGCCGCTGCCTTTGCGAGCGGCTCGCTGTCAGTAGTAGCGTAATGGGGCCATGACGCGCTGAATGAATGCAAATATTAATGTGCTTCTCCGAACGTGATTTCTGGGAATGGATCACTTCAACTTACGATTCTTCGTGTTCTGTAAAATCTTGACAAAGGGTCGAGACCCCAAAACTCGAATTTCACGAATTTTCGGCACTCCAATCTCCGCAGTCCAAAGTATTTAAATAAATGCGGTAGTCTACCTGCTCAATTTTATGTAAAAGCAACACATTATTACATTCTCGCGTTGCACTTACGTAGTATAGAGAAAGTATTGTAATGCAACAGCAAAAACCGGCTATTCCCTCCCTCCCCACAAAAACTCATGTATTTTGGGGCCCTGATGTCGAAAAAGTGGATTAATCTTCTTCCTGTATGTGGTGAATTACTTTCTCTAAGACATTGTGCAGTCACAATCCATGTTTTGTGGATCCCTGAATACAAATATTTAGTTTCTAGCAAAGAGCCTGTCTGTCCGTCTGTGATCAACACCACCGCCGAATAAGATTTTCTCCAAAACTGGCATTCTCCGACCTATTTGGTCAAAATCCTGGCCGTGTAAATTTGAAACAGGTATTTTGATTTTGGGGATTATTTTACACGGAGCCTTAACATTTTCAAAATTTTCTCAAAAATGACCCCAAAGTTTTGGTTTACGTTTTCTTCCAAGAGCAAAGGGCACTTACAAAATTGTAAGTCTCATTTTCGTGTAAATATCTGAATTATAGAAAATTTGCAAAAGGTAGAAAAGGAGGTGTCTTCCTACAACTACAATATTGAAGATATATATTTTTCCTTCATGAAATCTGATTTTAAAGACATCTTTAATTAGTAACTTGCGCCAGGAAAGTCTCTCCGCTCTCGACCCAGGGTCTCTTGTTAAAAATTGCTTTTATGTTGGCAGCAACCAGATCACTGGGAAACAAGTGAAGGGGGCAACACTTTCAGCATCTATTATGACTGTGTTACGCAATTTACATTTTCTTTTGTCACAAGATGCACCTCGTGCTGCTAACGAAAATTCGGTTGCTGGCACTCTCACCAGAATTTCATGGTATACAGAATTTTCAGTGCACTATTCATTGCAAAATATAGATTTTTAAAAAGAAGAGTTTAAGGAATTTTGGCTGAAATATCGGGGGTTTATAAAAAAATATTTTCAGAAACTCGGCTCCAAACGTTTTCTTTCAAATTTCCTCGTACGTAAAGGACGGTAAAAAATGATGTTGGTCACGTGAACTACATGTATATTCGGAAATTGCAAAACTTACAATGCAAAAGTACATTATTCTTCTTGCTTAATGAAATCTGTATTAAAAAACTAGATGTTTATATAAAGTCAGGTACACTATTATTGAAAAATGAGTAGTGTTAATGTAATTTGTGCTTAAAGTAAAGAAAATGATTGTTCTCTCAAAAACGACTCCACATTTTTCTTTAAATTCTTCCCTGCAATAGAGAAAAGGACGCTTAAAGTGGCACAATTCTCATTTTCGTTGTACTAATTGCGTTTTCGAAAATTGCAATAGTTACAAGAATGCAAGAGATTAGGTAATGTTGTAGCACGTCTAGTTTCTTTTCTTTTTGTAATACATGAAAACATGGTTGAGTACATTTTTTCGCCGTAAACTTTTAAATTTCATAACACAGTGTACCTCATGTGATTTAATTACAACAAAAACGAAGTACTTTGAAAGTCATTCGATGATTTAAAATTGTTTAGGTTATTTATTACTTATTCAGTTGCTAATTAGGCATCTCATTACTGTTGACTTAATTATGTGAAGAGTTGGAATCTTTCAAGCGTTGGAAGACACGATATATTTTAAACTTTTAAGTGTTCGCGTTTAATATTGTTTTTTAGTATTACGTGCATCATGTGATGTTTTCGCCTCATTAAAGACGATTAGGACAGAAATGTGTGCGATACTAATCAAATTGAATAAAACAAGCGTTTCAGGTTACAATGCAATGCATGTCAGTGACGTGAAAGGTAATGTATAAAAATAAGAATTTCTTTATGAAACAGTACGATATGATTACCACCTTTCGGTGCACTAAAAACATAATTATACAATTTGTGCCTCCGGAGGGAATACTCACAACAATCTAGGGCTGAATTATCGTAGACACTTCCATCATTGCACTCACCAGTAGTTTTGTTTTCTACTTTTCGTTTTCCTAGTACAGCGCAGTCCCAGGGCCTCCCTGCCAGCTGATGCCAGTCATGACGTGGTGGTTAACGACGCCACGTACGCGTGGACGGAATGGGAGCAAGGCGCCCGGGTCCAGTTTGGCGTAGACGATGGAATAATGATGGCAGTGATAATGATGAAATCAGAAGGAAAGGTCGTGCGCGATTCGTGGTCCACCGCGACACTGATTTTCCCGTATTAGTTTTCTATTTCCTTAGGTCTCGGTTAGCTATTCGAACTTGCTTCATATTTTTGCTTGCTTTTTTTGGTGGGGGATATTTTCCTAATTTTTCGGTTTCCTAATTGTAGAGAGGAAATATTATAATAAGATTATTAAATAAGAGTAAAACGTCATCCTAAATGGCAATTTTCTTTGAAAATTTTGTCTTTGAAAACCGTTTTTAAAAAAACTTGTGTTTAAGCGCTACTGTAAATTCGAAAATTGAAGCGCTTTTTCACAGACACTTTTTGAGTTTTCGAAAAACATAATTTAAAGTCATTGCATATCAACGGCGTGAGAGATGCTTCAAGAAATTTACATTTGTGTAATTTTTTGAAGAACAAAAAATACACCGAAATGAACTTTACGTCACATTAAAGAGTGCAATTGCTACTATCCGTTCGAAATGTTTGAAGAAAAATTTGGAGTCGTTTTTGAGAAAATGCAGTTCGAGCGTTTCTGAAAGTGCGGCGTTTTGAGCTAGTTTTCATAGAAATCAATAAAGTTTTCGAGAAACTTTAGATGACATGATTTAAAGCACATGTACAAGTAAATACAATTATGTGAACAGCTTGCCGCTAATATAAATATTAACGACATTAGAGGAAAGTCCAAATATTACATTTTTGTATTTTCCGAAAAAACAAAAGAATAGAGCAATATGGCGTTTATGTCATCTTATAAAGTACATTTAGCACTATCCTTTCTAATTGTTTGAAGAAAAAGCTTGGAGCCGTTTTTTGAAAAAATCTTATATCATATATTGCATGCAATTATTACGCGAAAAGTATTAAATTTTTCAAAACAATCTACCTGACCTTATTGAAAGAACTCACAATGAGAACAAATTTTATTTGACGCAAAAATCTCTATCTTCAATTTTGTAGTTGTAGGAAGACACCGAAAAGAAATCATACTTTTGAAATTTTCGAAAATTCAGAGTTAACCGTGAAAATCGGACACATGCCACCTTTATAAGTCTATGCTACTCTATTCTTACAAGAAATTTAAAGAAAAAATTTGCATCCGTTTTTGGGAAAATTATGAAAATGTCCGGGAGGAGGGGCTACATGTAAAGTACCCCCAAATTTTAAAGATTTTTTTCAAAGTCTCGAAGATTCGACTCGAGCGAGATTGACTCGGGTTTCTTCAATTTGGATAAAATCCTACGCATGGTTTAGGCGCTAGTAGTGTTCACATGCACCAGACGGACGGACAAGGGGACATTTTGGAAAAAGCTTTTTCTGTATCAGGGGACCCGAAAACGTGTATTTCCGTCGAAATCTCGAAATCGATTTACCGCAATCTTTCAAAATTTTCAAAATCATCAAATTGTGAATGCTGATATTTTCTCTTGGAACAAAACATTTTTACGATTATTTTTCATACTTTAATTCTGATTTCAATTACAAAGGACTTCTTTTATAAAGTTTCACGAATAATGACCTCGTGATGAGAGAAAGCAAACGTTTGCACAGGCATTCATATCTACCATATCAGATATAACTGTGGAACATGACATGAAGAAGCAATTTTTAATTCAGTAGCTTGCACGTAGAACAACAACCTTTTGCCATTTGATTAAAAGGCTATAAATTACATAATACAACACACAAGTACTGATATGGTGATATAAAACTAACTAATTTTTCGTTCCTAAAGGTGCTTGAAAGGGCGTAAAACTTTAACCCAAAGTAAAAATAAGCAACAAAGAATAATTTTCGTTACAAGGAGAAGATTGCACCATCCACCCGTGCGATCCCATCGCTCCATATTGGTCTTCCTCTCCAAAATTTCTTCATCACTACGTCACGCGAGATATCTTCATTATCGCGCACATGTCGCGGAGAATTTTTCTAGAAAGCTAGCACGCAGTGAATGAGAGACCGGCGCAGCCATGTTCAAAGGAAGCCGTCACAAAGCAGGACAAAGGGAAGGATACAATGGCACTGGAGCCCTTACTGACGACCCGAGGTACACGTGCGACGGGCCTTGCGTGGACGCCAACCCCGCGTCGTCAAGAGATCACGTTTCTCCGACATTACGTTAAGGTTTTTACCTTCGACGTTCGCGTTTGTACCGAACCTCCTTCTGTATACTTTTGTTCTGACAAGAGGAATCATCACCATTAGAATGGATAAAATAACTCTTCCATTCTCTCATACAATACATGTACATTATTTTACAACATTTTGCAGGATGACATTAAACAATAAAATTCGATAGAAAACTTCAAGTCCCAAGTAAAATCTTTTCTGCTGCATAACTGTTTCTATACAATACAGAGACTGTAACGAGCATCAAAGAAAACTAACATTAATTTTAACCATGATAAATAATGTATTATTTACCATTTGGATTGTATAATTCTCAACAACCTCAGACGTTCCGTATCCCAGCGTCTGGGTCAATGACCTCCATCTCGATCAGGTTCTTCGTCCAGTTTCCCTGATCCTTTGAGCAAATGATGAGATGGACACTTGTATATAAATGTAACTTCTTTATGTATGCACTAGGTATATATAACGAAAACCCACATTGTACTAAATCTGAGACTTTTTCCACGGATAAAAACAGATTTTTACTACAAAAGTGTCGTCC